CACACACACACACACACACACACACACACACACACGAATATAAAAATAAAATTCTTGCAAACCCCAGGCTGAAAGCATGACTACTGGCTCTCCAAGTGAGATCCAGGGAGAGACCATCAGTCGATTACCTCCCTGGTTGGAAGATTTTATCCAGCAACGCGTTTGTCACACTACACAAGCAGGCAGCAGTAAAGCCTGGCCACGCAAATCAGAGTCTTTACATATATATAGTAGGGCCAGAGACGACCAGCAACCCCTGGGAAAGCTGTCCCTCTCAGATGCCTGCAGACAGATCTCACAGGGAGATCCTCACAGGCAATGTGCTAGACGGAAGAAAGCTGGAGGCAGGGCAGAGAACAGAAAGCAGTAAAGTGCTGACATTTAAAATAAAAACCAAGAGTGTGGGGAGGGCAGGTGGGTCATGTCTGGTCCTGGAGGACCCACCCTCCCCACTGCCGTAACCGACGGAAACCAGCACCCAGCTGATCACGATGATAGTTACTGCCAGGACCTGCTGCAGCCAAACAGGGCAGAATGTGGGTCCAGCAGTAAATACCTTAAAATGCCCATAGGTTAGATCACCTCAACACATGGACATTTAGTCCAGAACTGGGGAGATGGCTTGAAACTCGGCACCAAACTAAATTACTGAAGTGCACAGGAAGAGCACCCAGGTTCTTGTTGGTTCAGATCCCAGGGTGGGGTGGGGGTGGGGGGTTGTGTTGCTGTACTGTTGAGTAACACTCCAGTAAATATAAGCAAGATTAGCTGCAAAATGTGACGAAATACGACCGCTCCCATCGGTGTGACTGCACAGTCAGATAGCTGAGAAATCGCTCAGAAACAGATTAGGGGCTTTACACGTCTGGGTGTCGACCCACAGGAAGATGTACACAGACAAATGAACCAAAAACGCCTGTGTTTAATGTCTTATGGAGCTGGGGTTCTGTAGCTAACTGCTAAAACAAGCCCACTGGAATCCCAGATAACAGCCTCCCAAACTGGGCCAGTCCTTAATTTCGAGCCATACCATCCAACCTACTGCACAGAGGTCGGCTTATACAGAACAGATTTTCCGGATTCCCAAAGAAACCAAGAGATTCAAAAACTTAGAGACCAGAACATGAACACTGACCACCAGCAGGTGACAGCCATGCAGATGCCAGTTTGACGCAGTGGGACATGACACTGCTTCAGAAGTCAGATGGATCTTTGACACGACGCTCCAGGGCTAGCAGATGAACCCTGGGGCTTTCAAAGCACAAATCTGACTACCAATATCACACCCTTCCTTCAGGTGGTGCTCACACCATAAGAACTATACAAACGAGAGGAGGCCATTCGGCCCATCGAGCTCGCTTGGGGAGAACTTAACTAATAGCTAGTTTTATCTAGCTCTGATTTAAAGGAACCCAAGGATTCAGCTTGCACTACGTTATCAGGAAGACCACCTTGCATTCACAAAATGGAGTCCTGTTACAATGAAAATAACTGGCATCCCACAGTTACACTTAAACCCAGTTAGGTGCCACTGTCACAAAAGTCCAAAATGGCCAAAGGCTTTCACATAGACCAAAAGGTTAAGAGGGGTCCCACAGCCAACCCAGCTTTCAAAAGACACGGGACACTGGACTCCAAACACCGCCGGGATGAACAGAACGACCTTCTATGTCCGCGTGTGACCATTCAGAGCCAAGAGGCGATGACATCGGCCGCATGCGGCCCTCACACTGGGGCGGGGCTACGCAGCGAGTGGCTAACGCGATTACGGCTTACAAATGCCACAGCTAACGAGGCCGGGCAAATAAAAGCCGCTGTGAGTAATGTGATTTGAAGGGAGAGCCCCGCTCGGGCCGGGCTCCGAGGCCGTAATAATCAGCATTCTGCTGCACAGAAGCAGCTCAAATCCGTGGCCTTAGAAAGAGAAGGAAGGGCTCCAATGGGCAAATGAACAGACAGATGGAGCTCTTAAGAAATCCGACCCTTAAGGGGGGAAATAAAGCAGACGTACAGGAATACAAATGTGCAAAAATGTGCACGTTTTCTACGCACATGAAAGTCATTTCTTATGGCGCTTGGGACTTAAACCTGTCTAGACGCATGCTTGGGTCAAATTAGGCAGAATGTATTTTTAGATGTGGTTAGAAAGCTATTTGATTGGGGAGGGGGTAGGGCTCATTTAAAGCTTTAT